TTCCGAGCAGGGAACCAGACAGGTGCTCTAGAAAATGGTTGTTTAAATTGGCTGGCTTTGACACCCAGGATTAAAAAGAAAAGTATCTGTCAAGAGGAGGCCAGGCAAAACCTGAGAGTGGCGGAACCAGTGAAATGGGTTCATTAATGCCAGCTGGCCAGCGTAAAGCAAACAGCAACGACTGTGGGTTATACGCTAAGACTGAGCTACCCAAAAATCTGGTGTGAAGTTGCAATGTTTGAGATTGATTAGGTGCCATTAAGTTGCTGTCGACTCTTAGCAACCACGTAGATTTTTCTCCATGGTGATCTGTCCCTCACCTGGTCCTTCAGGTCTCCCAACCGTGCACTCATTGGCACTCTGCGTCAATGCCTCTTGCTGCTGGTCATCTTCTCTTTCCTTCCACCTCTCCCAGTGTTAGGCCCTTGCCTTTGTTTATTTGTTTACCCAAGTTCCAAGAGCCGAATAGAACTTGAGATGAGGCTTTTTAGCTAACGGACGTTTTATTGGCCAAGAAACATTCTGGATGGCTCAGTGAACACCGTGGCAGGAGTGTTGCCCAGAACCACACCTTGCAAAGGAAACATCAGAAATGTATAGGCATTATCAAATGTATCAAACTTTTAATCAGATAGTACATCCCCTCATACCCATACAAGGAAATACAGGGATAGTCTAAGGAGGGGGAAAAGGTAAATCCCAGAAAGAGAAAGTCAGCTCAACTCTCTTCTCCTGTTACCAAGAGAATAGCACATGTTAGCACATCCTTATCTCTTGTGGAATTCAGGGCCTCTTTCTTTGCAACTTTTATCAAGCTAATTGTTTATTCATTCAAAGACAATCAGGCATGCAACAAAGAGATAAGGTGGGGGGAGAAAACACTGTTCTCTTTAGGAGGCAAAAGCAAGTTAACCCTTTGGAAATAAGATAGAGTGCACTGTTACATGTATGTTTATACATTATGTGAAAAATATATACAATATAAAAATTGTGTATTAAAATAATGCCCTTCACCAGCATCAGAGCCTTCTCCAGAGAGCTGGGTCTTCGCATCATGTGTCCAAAATAGGATCATTTGAGTCTGGTCATTTGTGGCCGGGACAGTTGAAGTATGAAATGTGAACTGAACCGAGTTTGGGGTGATCCTTTTTGTCCATGCAGCGTATCTTGGGTGACTCCAAAAGATATTAAGGGATAAATCAACGCTAAATATAACTCTTTTATTATTTGTTTGTTCGTTTAAGATTAGAGGACAACCAGCAGCAAGGTGGATGGACTCAGTTATACAGTAATGGCAATGGGCGCACCATTGGGAGATCAGAAGGACCAGGTTGGGGACAGGTCATGTCAGTCTTTCTCAACTTCGGCGACTCTAAGATGCGTGGACTTCAGCTCCCAGAATTTCCCTGCCAGCACTGGGGAATTCTGGGAGTTGAAGTCCACACATCCTAAAGTTGCTGAGGTTGAAACACTGATCTACTGTATATGGTCGCTAGGAGTTGAACATGACCCCCTGGCACCTAATCAGTCAACCAAAGATAATTCCTCCTTGTGGTGAAAGTCTATGGCTGTATTCACACAACTCAGTTCATCGGTGAAAGGAAAATGTAGCGGCTGGATGTGAGGACGGGAAAGCTTGGTTAGTGTAAACCTTGGCTAGGCTTTCTCGAGGCTAGCATGTTGCATGACGTTTTGGTCTGCTTGTTATGGTCGGACCCAATGCAGGAACCCCGTTCCCCGCTGGGCTCTCAGCTGGGCCACAGGGCGCGCCAAGCCCGAAACAGGCCCTGCCCACGACCTCTGTTCGCGGGACTTGCCCGGCCCGGCCCGCTCTGGTCCCTGCGCGGCGGCCTCCCGAGGGGGCGGCGACGACCCCCAGCCCCACCCGGGCG